CTCATCTTTGTTTTCCTTTTGTCCTCCCTTCCATATAAGGTGTTCCCCAAACCTCTCATTTAAAATATATATATATATTTTTAAATAAATCAAGCCTAAAAAACCATAAAACTCTCCCAAAATTTCAAGAATCCCACTAACCACATCTATTTTTATGTTTAATATTCTTGAATTTTTTTTAGATTTTTTTAGGATTCAAATAAATGGCTTTAAAAATATGAAACTAAATCTTTTTTGAAATGGTTGCTTTGTATTGTTTTTTTGCTGTTATTTTTTCAATTTTTAAAAATCTAAGATCTCAAAATTTATAAATTTTTTATTTATATAGGAGACACATTTAAAAAAAATACTTAAGAATCTAGATATGATGGATTTTTTTAAAGAATTTTTTTTTATTTTTTAGAGATATTTCAATTGATTTTAAAAAAAAAATTTTAGTTTTTTTCTATTAATTTTATCGTTATTGTTTTTATGTGATTGTGGTTTGGCAATATTAGTTAGGCTTAGGGTTTTTGAGATTATGTGTTGATAATAGTTGTTAGATATATTTTTAGTGTTTTTTTTTAATTTAACTGTTTGATTTGATATTTTTTGCACAATTTTTTTTACGATTTAGGGGAGGGTGGGTAGTATTATGGTGATCTAGTTTTTTTAATTTTTATTTAGATTAAAAGGTAAAATAATAATTTTGTATTATTAAGTAGTGCCATGGGTAAAATGATAATTTTGTTATGTAGACAGGTGTCAGTGTTAAAATCCTTAAGAGATATTTTTCTTATATAGGTATAGATTATTAAGATAAATTTAAAAAAAAAAAACAAAACAAAACCAGTTTTCATTTGTTAAACGTGAAAACATATAGATTTAAAAAAAAAAAAACCTTAAACATGATAAACAAACAAATTTAAAGAAAAAAAAAAGTAAAACTAGCTTTACTTACAATTTAGACAAAACTAAAAGAAAAAAAAAAAGACGCATAGAAAAATGGAGAAAAGGCAGAGAAAGGTGGTGGTCGACGAATGAAAAAAAAGGAAGGGTTTAGAGACTGATTGGCAACATGAATATTAAGGTTAATGTGTAATTTGGTACTCGAATTATACATTTCTTTTACAATTTGATGCCTAATGAATAAAATTCATAATCAGGTTAAGATTTCTTTACTCGAATTATACATTTCTTTACATTGGTTGGAAAGAAGTGTAACAGGCTTTTGCAAAATCTATTTGGAGGAAAAAGATCTTCTTGAGATAAAAAAAAAAAAAATAGGGATGGAAGGGATTGTCCTTAGAAGAATATCTAAATATTCTATTCTTATTACCTTTTAAAATATGGAAACATTTGAAACCATGAAGAAAAGACAACAACCAGCAAACGAGGTGCGTGGGTAGTTTGCTTTGGGATTCCATTTCATACCTGGTGTATAGATATGTTTCAGAATATTGCACATTGTTGGGAAGAGTTTGTATGTATGGATAATGATACATTGAAGTTACAGTCTTAAACGGGGGTTATATGTATATCATCACCTATTCATTCTTAAAAATTGATGGAAGAATACATCTGAAAGGGGGCGATTTAATATTTCCAGTCAGTGTCTCAGAAAGAAAAGCGAGCTATAAGGATACAGGGAGACGCCAAGAGAGCATAGCCAATTACCTGAAACGGTGCATAGTAGGCTAGAGATGGAAGAAGACAAAGCATCAGTGGAAGTTGAACGCAGAAGGAGGAAATGGTGCAAAAAGGAGTAAAAATCCAACTGGTAATTTGGAATCTGCTTCGGGATCTAGTAGTGAGTCGGAGGAAGGTGAAGAATCAAGAGAGGTGGACAGAGGATTGTCAGAGAAAGCAAGTGAAACACAAGTGTTGAGCAATGTGGAGAGATTTTCAAAAGGCAATAATGCACTATGGAGGGATTTTCAGAAGGCAATAATGACACAGAACAGATGGGTGATAGAGACATTATAAACAATACTGAGGAGTTTATAGAAAAGCATACGCCGGTGGATGTGAATTGTCTTATTAGGTATGAGATTTTAAAAAGCATGGAAGGCATGGGCTTGGATAAAATTGCTAGCTCCTCTATTAGGCTGGCCCAAAGCTCAAACCCCTATTTAATTAGAGAGACAGAAGAAACACGTGCAGCAGGTAAGGGATCTAATATTTTTTCGAGAGTTTAAGAAATGGAAATACTTCGAAGCAATCGAGGAAAGTTGACCGGAAGAGTAAAAAGGAAAAGAAAGAAAATAGGCAAACAGAGCAGAAAGGGGAAAACATTAGCAAATCTACAAGAGGCTGAAGATCGAATGGTGAACGAATCAATCTCAGATGGAGATTTCGTCAACCATAACAGGACGTTGGCAAATAGATTGGTTGAGGAAGATATACGAAAGGAGGCTGAAGCTATTTGGGCAGTGGGAAGGTAGCTTGGAATCTCGGCGATTGGCAACGAAGAAGTCATTAGGAAGTTGCAATAGATGGAAGAATTAGCTCAAAGACAGAAGGCACAATAAGGTAGATGGCAAATGGTGGTGGAGGTACGCGGTGGGAAAAAAAAAAAAAGCTCTATGGAGAAGACTTGTTAAGTATGGTGAAGATTTTGTTGAGTGAACACCCTATGTTTTACATAAAGAGAAGATGTCTAGTATCTGGAAGAATGCAATATCTGTTACAAGCATTGAAAACATTGATAGATTGGTGGGCTTTGGTAGTTGTTGACTAAATTTGAGGACGGTGTTTTTGTTACTTCTGACTAGAAAAGCAGGCGACTGTTTCTCGAAACTATCCCCCTTGGCTGTAGACAAAGAAATAAAAGTGACGGAAACCGTAAATGAAGAGGATAGATAGGAGATCAAGTTTTGAAGGCAATTGAGGAAATGGGCTAAAGAATCCTTAAAGGAGATATTGGATGAGCTAAAAAGCTTTCCATTACTGAGCAGTAAACGTAATAGGCACATTTAGGAGGTGCAAACCAATCGCACGTTGGAAATGCTTGATTTCCATTCTCTATCTTGGATCAACAGGCATGGTTTATTTCAATTTGGAAGTATATATTCCTCATAAAGTGCAATGCTCAGCAAAGTTTCATGTCCTTGTTCCTAAAACGTATGGTCTATGGTTTTTAAGTGGTAGAGCTTAAAATGGGTGATGCCTAACTCTGTTGAAGAATTTATTCAACAAAGTGAAGGAGTTTTCTTCACTGTAACTTTAGACGATGGTTAGCAGTTTATGGAGCTATATTCTGGTCTTTATGGCTATTTAAAAATGAGACTGTCTTTAATAACAAGAAATGTGATTGGGAAGAGGTTTTGTTCTTGATTGAACTAAGGAACTTACAGTGGATCAAAGCCATCAAAGGCTATTCAGAGATTGCTGCATCCATTTGGACAGCCCCAATTGAATTGACTCCTAGTGCCCCTATTGGTAATTTGAGATTAGTTGTATGGGTATGTCCAGCTCCAAATAAATTAAAATTCAATGTTGATGAATCTACTCTTGGGTCCACTAGTGTGGCTAATAGGTGTTGAGAGACGATGCTGGTATGATTTTGGGAATTTTTTATGGTCCCCTTGAAATTTAGAACTCGAATTATGCCAAAATTGTCACTATCAAAGAAGCTCTATTGATGTTCCCTAAATCACCTTGGGTAAAGCTTAAAAGCTTAGTAAATGAGTCAGATTCAAAGGTGGCTTTATCTTGGATGATAGCCTTGGAATTATTGGCAAATCTTCAATGAAGGGATGTACTCAAAAGTAAAATAAAAAGGGTTGAGGTTAATCATATTTTCGGGGAAGCAAACTCTTTTCCAAACTCATTAGCTGATATGGGGCAACAGAACTAAGATGTATTTATGCTTGGATTTATATATCTATTTCTAATTCATGGATGTTTTATGCCTTGATTTAGATATGTATTTCTAATTTAGTGATATATGTTTTGAAGTGTTTATCTTTTTGGAGTGGTGTTTGTAGCTCTTTACAGCTTTGCTGATGCTGCTTTGTAATTCTCTCTTTATGAATTAAATTAAATCTTGGATGAGGGAAAAAAAAGGTATTCGAACTTTAATTCTGTCCATCATATCATCACCGTTAATATTAAATTGACGTGACCTCCAAGTAGTCAATAAAATCCTAACACGTGGTTAAACCCAAGTCAACTTTTAAAACTTTTTATTTTTTGAAAAATAAAAAATTCAAAATTAAAAAAATAATCAAGAGGAATGGGAAAGGAGAAGGGATGAATCCTGAGATGCAAGCTCAGGAAATGGGCATTTGGACTTATCATAAGAAACCAACTACTAACATTTATCATCAAACACTTTACCACCACAAAAAACTCCGAGGAGACTGCAGTCTGCAATGATTCCCTGAAGACCTTTCAACACTAAACATTAAGCAAAGATGCTAGACCTAATAAAACTCCAGCTCAATAATATTATAAATTAAAAAATATAATAATTTTAAAATTTATTAACTATAATTATTGATATATATTTTAAAATTTTATCATATGATAAAATAATGAGAGGATAAATTTATTTTTCATCATATTAATTGATTTAACATTTTTTATGACAAATTAATTTCAATTTATTATATAAAAATGATATTTTCAATAATTACATAAAAATAATACTAATTTAATATGAATTAAAATTAATAGCAAAAAATTGATAGTAATACAAATATCAAAATAATAAAAAAATTATTACTAAATTTCAAATATAAAATTATAAATAATAAATAATAAAATAAAAATATAATTATTTCTCATTAACTTATATAAAAAATTTACTAATTTTTTCATCTAAAATCTCTATATATCATATTTTTTTATTTTTTAATTATAAACTTTCTTAAAATTTCCTTTAATAAAAATTCTCATTAATTAAAATTTATCAGATTACCTTTTAATAAAATTATACACTAAATTAAAAAAAAAAAAAAACTATGTGACTGCTACCCTGATCACCGCCGCCGCCAGGTACAAAACCTCAGGCTTTGAAACAAAGGACAGCCAGCCCACAACACCCCCCAGCCTCTGCCCACGAACGTTTATACCCTCCAGCCTTCACTCCTTCCACACGTTTTATTCTTCTTCTTCAATTTTCATTGCTTCTTTCTCTCTTCTTAGTAACTCTCTTGCTACAATCTCGCTCTTCGTCTCTCTCTCCCACAAAGAAAGAGCCAAACTCATATAACCCAAAATCAGTAAAGTGGTAAATCCCCTCTCCTAATCGATACATTCACAAAAATCTTTGCCTTTCTTGCCCTCCGCTCCTTCCTCCCTCACTGACACAAACTTAGGCAAGCCACAGCCTCTCTCAGTAACAAATTCAAAGATTTTTTTCCAACTACATTCAAGTTCAACAGCAATTTGTAGCAAGCCAGCAAATTTTTAACAAAAAAAAGGTAATTTTAACTTACTCTTACCTTCAAATTTCTTGTTCTTCCACATTTGATCTCAATTGAGGTTGACTTTGAGTTAATTGAATTGATTCAATTGACTAAAAGTAATGGTTTTGTGATACAAAATTTATAATAAAATATTTAAAAGTAAATGCTTTAATTAGTTTTATTAAATTATTATTAATTATTTTTTAAAATGATTAATTTATTATTGATCTATTCAATTATTTTATCAAATTAAAAAAGAAAATAAAAAAAACTTTATTTATAATATACCAATAAACATTAAAATTAAATTGTATTGTATTATAATGATAGAAATAATTAGTAATAGTGAAGAAAAAAAAATTTAAAAGATAATTTAAAGTTTTAAACTTAAAATAAATTAATAATTTCTGTTATATTTATTATTTTTATAAAATTAATATTTATAAAAATAAAATTATATGTAATTTAAGTTACAATCCTTTGGATTTTTTTTAATTTGGGTTCAAATCAATTTAATTTTTGGTTATTTTCAGATTTAAATAATTCAGATTCCGGTTGTTTTTAAGTTCGCATTGAACAAATTTGAATAATGAACTTTTGTGATCAAGATCAAATGAATTTAAGGAAATTTTCAAGTTAGTATAAAATAGACAGTCTAATAAAAAAAATTGGGGTGAGGGTGGTGGAGGCCGTTTGCCATTTGGCATGTTATTGTGGCGTCTTTCGTATTTTTGGCTTAACTGGAGTAACGGTGCAAACGGTAAAAGTTTCAATCTTGCATTTTGAGGGAAAAGGGCACTAAGTATTTTTTTAATGATTTAAGGGTTTGTTTTTTATTCTGGATTTTAGGCCTGAAAAGCAGTATTGCTTAAACCTTGGCGCAGCCATTGAAGGTCGAAGGAGAAGAAGAAGGGTTTAAGATTTTTTGCTACGTTCTTACTTGAAAGTGGTGAAATAATCTCTGTAATGGAGGCTAGTTTAGGAGAAATCCCCTTTGGTCTCGATTTTCATCCTTCAAAAGAACTTGTTGCTGTTTCTCTCATTACCGGCGACCTTCAACTGTATGTTTTTCCTCTTTTTTTTTTCATTTTCTCCTCTATTTATATAATAATTCAAATTCAATTATCTATTGAGTTAGACTCCGTCTTTTACAGATACAAATATAATATCGATGATTCCTCTCTACAAAGGTACATAATTTAAGTTTTTCTCTTTTTCTTTTTTATAATAATTTCCATTTCTAAGTTCTAACCATAATAAGTCAATACAGCTGAATGAAATTGACTGGTAGGGAATTTCTAAAAGTTTTCTTTGATTTTTTGTTGTTAAGATCGCTGGATGTTCATGCTCATACTGAGTCGTGTAGAACAGTTCGGTTTATCAACGGTGGACAAGGTAAAGCATTTACTTTTTTCATCATCATTTCACTCCGTGGATTCTATCAAATGATGTTGAGTGTGTCTGTGAGTTCAGCCGTGGCGACAGGTTCAAAAGATTGCTCTATTTTAGCCACTGATGTTGAAACTGGATCAGTAATTGCTCGTCTTGAAAATGCTCATGAGTGGGTTCTCACAGCTTCTCTGATTATGTTTTTTTTTTTTTTTTACTTTTTAATTAGTTATTGAAATATGAGTATATTTGGATTGTTCAGGAATGCCAATAATAGTTTGATCAACCTTACAGAGTCAACTGTAGCCTCTGGAGATGATGAAGGCTGTATTAAGGTTCCCTTTTACTTCATGTTGTTAATTTTATGTGGTTCTGTGCTTATCTGCTTTCCTTCTTTGCAGGTATGGGATACCAGGCAACGTTCCTGCTCGGGTTCTTTTAATGCTCATGAAGATTATATTTCAGATATGAATTTTGTATCAGATTCCTTGAAATTGCTAACAACAAGGTATCTGGCTTTCTCGTTTTATTGAATATTTCCCATTTCAGTACTTCAGTTATATATTTAAAAAATTATTCTGATTTAGCTCTTTTGTTGATTACAAGGAACTTCTTTTTCTTCTGTTTTCCAAGTAAGAGTTACATGTGCTAAAGAATGTCAAATTTTCAAATTATGTGTAGCTTAAGATGATGCTTGTCAAAGCAAGAAATGAGTTTGTTTTGTTAGGAAGATTTTGCCCAAAAGAAAGAATAAAAATGATAATGTTATTGTATTTTGTTTCCTATGATTCCTTCTTTCATTACCTTTATAGCTCCTTTTGCAAAAAACATGGTAATGAGTGTCCATGCATGGCCACATGCAAATGTCTTAGAATTTCTTTCATTTTCCTTCTTTTCAGTGTTCCCTAGCCCTTGCTCTCTCTCTCTCTCTCTCTCTCTGTCTAATGGTTTTTTAGGTGAACCATAACACATGTTTATTCTTTCATTCTTAAGTGGAGATGGGACTCTTTCTGTTTGCAATCTTCGAACATATAAAGTAAGCTCTTGCTTCAAACCTTTTTAAAGTTCTTGATACTTCTGATTGCAAAATTTTTTAAATAGACTGTGCTTGCTATGTATTTGGACAGTTGACTCTTTGATCCATTTCTTTGTTAATCGTAGGTCCAAACACGCTCTGAATTTTCTGAAGATGAGCTTACTTCTGTTCTAGTTATGAAGGTAGATTCATTTAATTGCTGAATGATCAGATTTTTTTTATGTTTGCATCTAATTTACTTTTGGCCAAACCTCTCTTAAACCCACACTACCTTTAATAAATTTGCATTTTAACCATTTTTCTTTCTTTTATTTATTTAATTTATGCCATCACACTTTCATAATTGGGTTAATTAAGCCACTTGGGTAACAGAATCTGTTTAGCCTCTGCCAAATATGGTGGAGTGGATAAAAAATGATATTTAACTAGTGACACGAACAGGAAAAAAAAAACCTTTTGGCAGGTGATGTAGCGAAATGAGAAAGAAGAAATGGCATTAAAATTAAATTGTTTTATATAAAATAGGCTATGTTTATAATTTAATGCTTGTATTTCTTTGATATTCTTTTTTTGAAGTAATAGTCGTTTAATCATATATCAACTTTATTTTTTCATTAAATAATAGTTTAACTTAATTAAATGGCTTAATAAGTAAATCTACTCTAATTTAATTGTAATTAAAGGAGGGTTGGATTAAATTTTAGTACATTAAAAAAAGTGAAAGGAAAAGTTAGAAAAAAGATAAAGGGATGAAGCAGTGGAGGGTAGCGAGTGAGAAGAGGGAGGAGGAGGTGGAGGGTGTCCAATGCTGGACCAATGAGATCTGGCAAGATCTTGCATTATTGAGGTCTTGAAATAATCTGCTCTTTCACCAATGAGGAAGTGTGATGCCTTTAAGATGGTAGATAGCCAAGCCCCCCCCCCCCCCCCCCCCCTTAATGCATGCCAAACTTATCCATTGCCAGAAAGAACAAATTTGCAATAGCAAAAGCATAGATTTTCCAATCAGTGCAAACAAATATAGAATCTGACCTGCAAAGATTGAGAGTCAGATTCTTGGAAGATGCAATGCTTTATTCATCTTCAAAAATATTCCCTTTGAGATTCAGTGAGATACATGTTAGATCTTGCCAATTTTCATCCATTCTTAGGCATTGGTCACCTGAACAGATCCATTTCAGGCCCTTTATCACCCCCTTCTCTCTTTTCTCCCACAAGTCCTTCTCCCCCTTCTTTTCTCTCACTGATCCTCTCCATTTCTCTCTTTTCTGGCTCTTTCTCCCCTTTTTTAATCTTGCTTAAATTAGATTTACCTGTTAAGCTGTTTTAATGAAGTTTACATAAAGACTATTCCTTTGTTATTGATTTATACAATATATAATTGCTATTTAGATGAATTTATCTTTTTTATTTTGCCACATCTATCAAAATTTTTTTTGAATCTGCATCATCAAACTTAACGGAGAGTTAACTATTTTTGTTTTATGTGGTTTAATTCACTTGTATATAAAAGGGTAATGATAGCTTAAATAAAAGAAATATAAGAGGGGTGGCATAATTACAAATTAATGAAAGTAGAATGGCTTTATAAGCGTTTAGCCTATACTTTTCATTGGGAATATATCTAGAGCATATTATGGTGCCATAGTTGCAAATGTTAAAGGTATTGGTTTTGTGCACATTTTGCCACTGCAGTTACCATAAAAGGATAAATTCTACTTTGTATGGAATCCTAATTTATGCTGTACATCAACATATATTTTTATGGCAACTTAATTGCAAAGATGACATGATTTTTTCCTTTTCTTTTTTCTAGAGGATTATGACTGTAAGGTGGATAACAAGTTTGAATGGACAAAACAATAAGGTTGAATGGACAAAACAAAATGTAGGATTCAGTTGTGACAAATCCATTTATGGGATTATTTTGGCAGTTCAACTCTTTCTCTGTCTGAAGATTAGGGAGAAGCTTTTTCCTTTCTCTAAGAAATTTTTTTTTTTAATTCATCAGCAGTATGCTTCATGATATTTGCTGTTAAAAAGCAAAATAATGCAATTTTTGTAATAACTCATATTTTAATGAGACTTCATAGATAGTTTTAATAACCTTGCTCTGCTTTCTTGTCCTTACTTTTTCTTTCTTGTCCTTACTATATCCTGGGATGCGTTGTATTTTGTCAGAATGGTCGGAAAGTTATTTGTGGATCACAAAGTGGAACTTTGCTGTTATATTCATGGGGATTTTTTAAGGACTGCAGGTATTGTGCTTTGAAAATCACCTTAATTCATTTACAAGAATCCTTCATCACTTGACTTTCTCTCTTTTTCTCTCTATGATGTTTTCACCAAATGTTGTGCCCTGAATTTTTCATTGGGTTGTCTAGTGATCGCTTTGTTGATCTCTCTCCAAATTCTATTGAGGCTTTATTGAAGGTAAGCTGGTTGCCAAATTCTTATAATATCAATTGGTTTCTAACAATCCAGAAACATTCTCTACTAAAATTTTTCAAATTATTGTGTCAGCTTGATGAAGATAGACTCATTACAGGATCTGAGAATGGACTAATCAGGTGAGAAATAAGCACAAAAGGAGACATTTATTTGGTGTTGATTGTCATCTTATCGTTGCCTACCTGCTCTAACTTTCATTTAAAATTCCTTTGAATTTTTCTCCAGCCTAGTAGGCATATTGCCTAACAGAATCATACAACCAATTGCAGAGCATTCAGATTATCCGGTTGAGGGCCTTGGTATTATATCCCTTTCCCCTTTTCTGAACCAAGTTTAAGTTAACTATGTCCACTTTGAGGTAGAATTAATAGGATTTTTTGGCATAGGTAACTTTTATGAAGGCTCCTTTAGGTTTGCCATTTTCACCACCTGCTTTGGCTTTCAAAAGCAAAAAGAAAAAAGTAGCATTTTGATACCAAAGGAATCTCTCTTTTTAGAATTTCAAATTTTAAAATTTGACAAAGAAAAGCACCATTTTACTTCTATCTGCAACCTTTATATTCAGGTTGGTATGCCTTTTTTAACTATTTACTTCCTTTTAGCTAAATATGAATTGCTTTTGTTTGCATTTGTTTTGGAAAAAGGCAAATATTCAAAAGCTGGTGGCAAAAGTGACAACAAAACAGAGCCTATGCTTGTTATGCTTGTAGGCCGTTCAATATTGGCATGCTGTGTATGCTTGTTAATGTGAACAAATATCAGCTGCATTTGCTTTATCATGAAAACTAGGAAAGCAAAAGGCAAATATCAAAAGTTGGTGGCAAAAGTGACAACAAAAGAGTGCAATGCTGGTTATGCTTGTAGGCGATTAATATTGGCATGCTGTAAATGCTTGTTAATGTGAACAAACATCAGCTCCTCACACCCCTTGAACCTTACTTTTATATGATGGTATGGATGGTGTCATTGGTAATTTGTGTGGTGCTCCCATGAATAACCAACTACCATTTTAGTTCCTAACTCAGATTTGTCCTTTAAACTTTGTTTTTATTGCTCTTAAAAAGGTTGATTATTGTTTTTCTGTGCTTTGCCAAGCTGGACATTTTGTTTTGTGATGGCTGAAGAATGCTTATTTGATGAAAGTTTGTTTGTTCTTGTAGCTTTTTCTCACGATCGAAGGTTTCTTGGTAGTATATCACATGATCAGATGTTGAAGGTGCATATTTCTCTCCATAGTTGGTGCCATCGCTTTTCTTCGTGAGATTGCAATGGTGTGGTGTATGAAATTTTAGAAATTTATGTGGTATATTCACAAGTGTACAAATGATTGCTTTTGTATGAGGAGGTCAATGGTACAAAAGTAGGCCTGATGGTTTGCAGTTGTATCAAAGTCATTTGGTAGATATCTTGGGATAATCAAGTGCTTTGGTGCATGACTTTACACTGATGAAGGTCCATTTATTTTTTTTTAATGCAGTTGTGGGATCTCAATGATATATTGCAAGGTGCTGAAAACACTGTAAACGATAAAGTTGCTATGTCAGACAGTGATAGTGATGATATGGAGGTGGATGATAATCCTTCTCAATCCAAGACAGGTATGCTAGTTCTCTTTTCTGCCTTTCATTTAAGACTTCTGCATAAATTAATAAATTACATATCTCTGAGCAGTATTGCTAAATCACCCAGACATAATTTTGCATCACTATGAACCTTCAAATGAAGCATTTTTATTAATTAACTTCCATAAGATTTTTTTATTTAGAGGAATGATATATAAAAATAAACCTTGAAGCATCAGCTTAGAATGTTGAGTTTCGATTTTCCAATCAATTAAAGGTGGGTTTGCAGACTTCTGTCAACCAGCCCCAGTGCATGATTTTTCTTGTACCAAGAATTTCTAAAGTTGGCTTTCAGTGCAATGAATAATTTCATGCTATGTCTTTGGTTTCAACCGCAGCATATAATTTCAAATGCCATGTAGAATTCAATGGTCTTTCCAACTTTAATTTCGTCAGATCTCCAGCTTTTTATTACCTTTGGTGATTCAAGTTATGAAGGATTGCCAAGTATGTAAGTTGGTTTTTTTTTCCTGGTTTCAATTTTTGCAGGGAGCAAGGTGAAAAATGCAAATAAAGGAGCTGCTTTTAGCAGTTCAAATAACTTTTTCGAAGATCTTTAGTTGGATTGTCAAATACTTGCAACAATTATAGGTAATTTGCACTGTTGGCCAGTGTGCATATCTTTTCATCTACCCTAAAAAATGTTAAAAGGATTCAAATGAGTTATGCAATTCATCTTGTTTTGATGTGAAGAGATCCTTGGTGAGGTTTGATGCATTATAGAGGTAGATTGATCCAATTTCAAGGTGCCATAAAATGATCTGTATGTTGGAATAACTCATTATCTTCTCATTGGAGTGGGCAAATCACTTCATAAATTTAGAACCATATGACAAATTTTAAATGCCGACTATGCATGACAGCGCTTGAGGTTTGCTGTAATTAAAATCCAAAGATGTTTGCTCTAATTAAAATCCGATGATTTTGCTGTAATTCACGCTCAGGATGTATGATATTTTGTTTGTTTGTTCTAATATTTAAAAGAATTTTTAGTTTTAGTTTACAAAATAGGAAAAATGAGAATTATTTGGAAATGACATTTGATTTTTTCAATTAGAAGAAATTGAGTTATAGGAGGTGATATTTTAGGCAATTAACATAAAATAACATGATTAATTCATGTTCTTTTATATAAATCAATGCCTTCATTAACCTACTGTGTGATAAACTTAACAAATTTAATATTAAAAATTAAATATTGAATTTTTAATCCTGAAAATTTTAATTTATAAATTTATGATATAAAAGTTTTTTGATATTTTATTGAAAATTAGATGTTAAATAAAATTTTTATTAATTTTTTTATAAAAAATGAGATAATTTTATAATTATTTTGAATTGATAAAATTTAAAAAAATTATAATAAATTGTTAAAAGCAAAGATTATGAAATTAATTGAATTATCTAACTTTTTTTTTTAAATAAATTGATATAATATATTAAGCAGCAGCTAAAAGCTACTTAGATTTTCAACAATTTTTCATTGAAAATCTTCAATTAATTGATTTTTTTAAAATGATTTATCAAATGCATTAAAAATATAAAATCATTGAAGATTTTGATTGTCAACGATTTAAAAATTTTTCACTGGTTTATCAAACACACCCTCCCAGGTTAAAGTAGCATTAATATTATAGAAATTTTTAGGTAGAGATTTCATTCAAAATTAGGGGTGTGAATGATATATTAATATTTTTAAGTTATTCGAATTTGATTTGAATAAAATTTGAATTTAATTCAATTATTATCGAATTGAACTCAAATAGTTTGACTCATCGATCGAGTTGAGTTTGAGTATTTTTATATCTGATTCGAGTAGTTTACGAACTTAATCGAATTTTTATATTTAAATATATTTTTATTATTTTAATTAATAAAATATCTCAAATTTGAGTTCGAACTCGAGCATAAATAATCGAATTTTTATTGAATATACGAATCGAGTTTATTTTTATATATTAATCGAGCTTAATCGAGCGAGTTCGAGTGACTCAATTTTGATCATGAATCAAGTTCAAATAGTTTAATTTCGATCACGAATCGAATTTGAATTAAAAAAATAAAATTTAATAAAGTTTGAATTGAGTATCGAATTGTGAGTTAAGAGTCAGCTCAAACTCGAACGATTCACTGTATTGATTCGACTCGACTCGATTACACTTTTAATTCAAACTCATTGTTGCCCAACATTACAAAATAATCTAGCAATATTATGAGCTAGATAGTTTGTAACTTTGTTTGCATGAATAAATTGGACAACTCAGAACTGGGATGCAACGTCCAAAATATCCACAGTTATTCCGACCCATTGCCAGCATGAATCACCAGCCTTATGAATCTCTTCTACCGCTAATTCGGAGTCACTTTCACCGAAACTGAGTCAAAACCCTTTTCCTTTGCCAGCCTAATTCCAAAAAGAATTGCTTTCATTTCAGCATTAAGAGAGTTTTGAACATGGATTTAATGCAATTAGCCAAACCACTCCCCTTTCGTCCCTAGCTACCGTCCCTCGTTTAGCTATTTCAGTTGATAAACTTGATTATGTAAAACACAATACAAATATAATGCAAAAAACATATATACAATTGTGGTACGATTTAAAATTTTAATATTAGTTATATATAAATTTAACAAAATAAAAAATATATTTTATATGTTCAATACCAATTATGATATAAAAGCATCAAATTGAAAGGCAGCATCCACATTTATTTTAACCTCATGAAACGAGGATGGCTTTCAGTTATTCGCCGAGTCGCTCTTGTGCTCTCCCACATCATTTATCCTCAAGATATTTATATTAACAGTCATCCTGATAGCTCTGTTAATAATCTCTATTATTGATCTACAATTTGCTTCATGATAATACCAATTTCGGTTCTTCCACAATAGCCATAGGGCATGAAAAACAATTCCATAAGATTCTCTTGCTGTGATTATATGAAGAAATTTAACCAAGAGTCGGCAGGCATTGACCCAACTTTCCAGGGAAGCAGTGACCCAATTGCACAAACTTTCCCACACCTTGTGACTGAAAGCACAATCGAAAAAGACGTGGTGAATTGTTTCCCTTTCTCACCACAAACACAGCATTTGTTATCCATTTGTAGCCCTCGACCTCAAAGCACATCTTTAATTGGTAGTATTCACCATAGCAGTCTCAATGCAAAGAGTTTTATCTTTGGTATAGCATTCAACGTCCACACTGCCTTCCACAATGGAGAGCGTGGTCCCTTATCCATTACCTTTTTCCCTACTAGCCTCCTTGCTACAAAATAAGCAAATTTAACTATGAATTGTCCTAGCTGCAAGTCTATCCAGATCAACTTTTCTAGTGAATGACAGCCACTTAAAGGCACTTGAAGAATTAAATTGATGGCTTCGTGTCCAAACATGGAACACAGCATGTTATAGTTCCATATACGATTCACAGTTCGATATTTAAACATGTTTGTAGGTAGGGGGTTTGCTAAGCCATTTGTCCCGTAATATGTCAATCTTCATTCCATCACCTGCACGCCATCATGACCCTGTTAGTAGAACTTCTCTCCCGCCCATCAAGCTACGCCACATAAATGATGAATTGGTCCCTAACCGTGCATTCAAAAGCAATCATGAGGGAAGTACTTAGCCTTCAGTACTTTGTGACATAGTGAAGATTCCTCATGTACAATTCGACAACATTGCTTTGCCAACAAAAGCTAGATTGAAGGCTTCAAAATCCCGAAAGCCAAGCCCCCATCAAGCTTGGCTTGATAGAGTGACTTCCTATTTATCCAATGATGAGTCTTTTGCCCTACCAAAATCTGGTAGTAATCATGTCTAGTTCATGAAGCAAATTCTTTGGAAGCCTAAAGCAACTCATACAATACAATGGCACTACTTGTGCAACCGCATGGATTAGGACAGCTTTTCCCGCAAAGGATAGTAGTTTACCTTTCCAGCCTCGAACCTTTTGCCAAACTGCCTCTGATTCTTTGAAAAGCTGCTTTTTTATCTGCCAATCATGATCCGCAACCCAAGGTATAAGTTTATAGATAAATCTTTAAAAACACCAAAACATGACTTAACCTCACGTTTTATCCTTTCACTTGAATTTGAGCTAAACATGATTGCAGATTTGGCAACACTAACCATTTGCCCTGAGACGTCATAATGACGAAAAATGTTCATGATAGCCCGGCCTTCAGTTACACTTGCTCTGAGGAATAAGATACTATCATCAGCAAACAGAAGATATGACTCACGGGGAACCCCAAGAAACAATCATGCCATGGATATCATTTCTCTGTTCTGCCCTACTCAACAAGGAAGATAATCCCTTCACGTGAAAAAAGTACGGCAACAATGGATCTCTCAGTCTGAGTCCCCTCGTCAGACAAATCCGGCCACATTGGCTTCCATTAATAACCACCGAATGTGAAACACTACGTACGCAAGTCATTATCCAAGAGATCCATCTATGTGAAAAACCAATTTTCAGCATTACCCCTTCAAGGTAGGACCATTCAACTCTGTCGCATGCTTTACTTATGTCTAATTTGAGGGCCATATGACATTTACCACCACTTCTCTTATTAATCAGGTAGTGAATCGTTTTGCATTGTCAAAAATCATCCGTCTAGTCACAAAAGTACTCTGATTTGCCCTAGCCATTTTTTTATAAATGAGGCTTCAACCTGTTCACCAACATTTTTAAGATGATCTTGTACAACACATTGCACAAACTGATAAGTCTGAAATCCTTCATGTTAGTGTTACCTTTGGTATTAGGACAACATCAGTGTGGTTTAAATTCAAAAGAAATCCATAATCCAAAATTGCATTTTTGGTAAAAATATGCAGTCATACCTCCGATCCTGGCGCATTGCTAGGATGAAATCCGTGAAATCCCTGTGTACCTGCAACTTCATACCATTTGTTACCCGTTGCTCCAATGTATCAATGACACAGTCCACATGTATAGGAGTAGTCGTAGAGAAGATATTTTGGAAGTAATCTATCAGTTATTTGGGACACTCGTAGTTTCGAAATGAAATTATTTCTCCAGCGACTAGAGGAATGAAGCAGCATGGAAAAAACCAGTGTTTTTGTCATCTTCCTTGAGCCAAAGAGCCTTTGACCTTGGCCTCCACATGGTCTCTTCCCTTAAGAGTAAACTAGATAGTTCTTGCCTGCACTTAACCAACTCTGTCTCCTTATAAGCAAAGCACGTGGCTCCTCCTTTTTACGCATAATCTGTGTTTAAACCTTCCAGCACCTTAGCTTACGATTGCAAGCTCTTATAGAATTCATCCCTTCCCCTCATTCAAGGAGTTAATATGTGTATTATCCCAACTTTCCTTTTTTCTTCAGGAATTTGATTCAAAAACATGGCAAATTTTCCCAGAGCCGAGAATGCATTAAAAGGAGCTGACGGAAATCAACCAGCCTCCTTTTTTTTTTCTTTAAATTTGCACATTGCTTGCAGTTTTACTTTCTTTATTTGAAATTTTTGAAATAAATTATTTTATTTTTTGATGGATGCAGAGTTGATAAATGTTGGGCAAAAGCATAATGCATTGCAAACTCTTCATGATTTAATTACGTCCAAAAGATATCGAGCTTGGCAAAAAACACTGGAAAGAATTATGTTTAAATGCATACAACTTTGTGTTGATATGCGAAAAGGTCGGTTTGCAAAAGTTGGTTTGATTCAATATCGAATTGTTTGTCAGCAAGTGAACGTTAGTTCATTGGAGGAAGTGATCAAACACTTTATGCATCTTTCCACTGAGAAAGCGGAGCAGGCTTGTATCCAGGCACAAGCTTTGGAAGAAGCTCTTGATGTGGATGACCTTGAGGCGGATAGAAGACCCAGGCATTTGATGTTGAGCTGTGTCAGTTGAGAGAAAGGAAAGGATAGGTCACCGAGAACTTGTTACACCTTGGTTTAAGTTTTTATGGGAGACGTATAGAACTGTGATTGAAATTTTGCGGAATAACTCGAAGTTGAAGGCACCATATGCGGTATTTCAATCAATTGTTGAACTTTTATTACTTCTACTTACGTATAAATCATTGAGTTTTGGATATCGTGCTGATTGGTTTTT